CGAAACTTGCCTGAACACGGAATATTGACATTAGAGTATCTTGACACCCCACTCTAGGAGCGCTAGGGCAAACAGCACGATATAGGTATGTTCCGGACATAGGCGCAGGGCTGGGAAAAATGCTGAATCTGCTACATACCAGATATTACGAGAAACTCTTTATTAGCTACATTGCCACAAACGTTCCTCACATCATTTCTGCTAGAGAAAATGATTTTACAAGTAATCAAAATTCTGGACAGAGCTTTCCACTTTCATTTTCTATCTATTCTCAAATTGAGCTTTGAATGTTTTTATTTAGTTGGTTGCACAAACAAAAACAGATACAGTGTCTTGCTTATGCCCCCTGTGAATGTTCTTTTTCTTATTTTTTACTCTTTGTAGGTACTCACTACTCAGGTTTAGAAAAAGCATACAAATATCAAAATAAGGTGCTGTAGGGCTTTCTCAGGGCAAGTTCCAGCACCACCCGAGAGCACCAGAGAACTCCAGTGAGCCCTAGAATTTTCCTTTCAGCATTCCAGCAACTTCAGGATTCAGATGGTATCAGCCTACTCAGGCAGAAAGTATTTGAAAGAAATCAGGTTGATTTGGCTGCTCAGTCTGGTCAACAATTTACAATCATTGTGCATGCCGAACCCGCTGTACAAAAGTTGCCAGTTGCCACCAATCAAGGTTTAGAGTTAATACAATAATTGAACATGCAAAGAAGTAAAAAAAAAATCTTTTTCTGGGCGTTACTTGATCAATATTTCAATCAGATCTCACCTTCTGCGCAAATTCGATCATAGGTATCTCCCTATATCTTCACACATCTTGCTTTGCGTGCTGGGCGGCTACCTTGCTCTTTAACTGTGTACTGCACGCCGCTTTAGGGACAGTTGTCATTGCAACACTTGAAATTAGGCCTGGAATATCCCACTTTCCTAAAATAGAGGCAAAATAAAAGCTAAACTAGCTGAAATAATTCAAAAACACCCAGGAACACTCATCAAACTCAACTGAACTATCCACGCGAAACGACAACTAGAATTGTCTCTAATGCGCCAGAAACAATGAATCAGCAAAATACACAAACAGCAATGACGTAGTTTGCATATTTTTGACAAGATTTCTTTAATAAAACTTACAAAAAATGTTTATTAGTTCTTTAAAACTCTAATTTGGTTCAAATGAGTATGATTTTAACAACAAAATACATAAAAAACGAATAAAATTGTGTATGACGTCATCAAAAAGGATTAAAGACCTTGCAGGAGACTGTATCATAAAAGATGGCTTTTTAGAGATGCCATGGGCAGAATGAGTTGATTCTTTTCGTATTTTTATTGATCATTGAACAATGCCCTTTTAAAAACAATTTGTTTTGTTTCGTTAATATGTCATTTGAATATTTCACAACTAATGAAACTCCTTTTTGCAATATTCATAAGAAAGATAGCGCATAAAAAGGCGTAGCAGATACCTTTTGTTACACGACTCAGAGTATGAAGAATTAGTGATGCTACAAGGGAAACTGCTACAAAGAGCCGCCAGATTCGTCATAAAATGGAGCACAAAGCTGACGTTTTGAACTTGTGTTAGTCTTACAGATGTTTTGTTCTTATTCGCCGACGAGATCACTGGCTGGTGATACCTCTATTTTAAAAATGTGCGAATTTTGATGTTTTTATTGTATTTTTCTTTATGATGTACGGAAGAGAGAAATGTTGATTTTGCTACAATTGATGGAACAATAAAGCGATATCTGCTACCTACTGGGGTATGAAAGTATGAGAGATTTCCCAGCCCCGCATAGGCGAATAATTTTACCTCGTGATTTATATGATGCATATTTTCTGAGACACATTCATTAGAAATAGGATGACAAGCGTAAATTATACATACCGTAACCTTATTAACCAATAACCATCGCACTTGTGGGGAGGGGGAGGGGGAAGGGGTCGGATAAAACCCCATGGTTTTCCGCAAATTACTCGCGCAAAAAGCGGCCGATCGCGCCGAAACATTCGGTGCCCTCGAGATCATCAATTTTACATCTAACCTAAAAATTTCATGACTCTGACCCAACTGACCTTTGACCTGTGGCATATTTCTCGAGACCATGTTTGGCCGGAATCGCGATTCGGCGTATTCCAGCTCACATTATCCACGGTTTCCAGTATTTTTGTGGTTTTAAACGTTCAAATATGTGAAATGATGTGGGTGCCATGCATTATGGTGGGTGTCAAGGTCACGTGAAGGTCAAGTCAAGGTCATTGACCTGTTGATGACCTTGGTTCACTTTTTCGAGTTTTACTTGTTTCTAGGGTAGTTTTTGGTGCTGATTTCGAATTTAGCAGCCATTTGAATATTTATGAAGTAGTTCTGGTGCCTTCGTTCCATGTTACGAAGCTATCAGTAGTAGGTGACACCTACTATGGATGGCCGGCAGGACGCCTACTGGTTGATCTAACCTGACCTGACCCGACCTGGCTTAAATGCATAAAGACATCGTCTGTATCAAAACTAGCATGAAATTCGTGATCAGCACCCCAAAATAGGTACCCCGTAACACCCTAACTTTGCGAAGTTTCAAGAGGTCTCGATTTCCCAACTTTAGTTGGGTCATTAAACTGACTTGGAAAGTCAACTTATGACCTTGGACTTTGAAATTGGATATATTCGGCCTCATTTCGTCATAGGCAGCACGCTTGATTTTTCCGCGAAGCTCTAGCTTGATCAGGGGCCAAACGGCTGAGCCGGGGGTCCAATTGAACCCCCTATACTATGTTGATTATGCACATTTACAGGTAAAATTCTCACCAGGACACACCAGCCAACATCTGTGCACAATGTGGCTACAATTCTACCTATGGTTTGCCCTCTACGAATAAAGACGTGCTAGATCGGAAAAGTCCCCACTGTGCATTGAGGACACACCTACTGTTACTTAAGTTTTACAAAAAAAGATACGAGTTTATTGATGATCGTTCTCGTGTAGTGCCCAACGTCCGCCTGCCACATTGCTATTTCTTTTTGTGCACGTCTCAACAACATAACACACACATGACACCGCGATAAAGGCCATTTCTACCATACGACACATTACGCTTCTGCCCCACCCGGCGCCCCGCACCGCTTCACGAATCACGAATACGGTCGTTTCGCTGGAGCGACGCCCCAGGCAATCGTCCGTGCCTGAGACTCTTCATCCTACTTTGTTGCTTTCTGCGCCTTCCTCAGAAACATTTATTGGCACTGCCAAATATATCAATATTTTTGGGTCAAGCAGAGGCTTACACATGATCTTATAGGTAATCGGGTAGTGACCTGACCCAACCTGACGATGAGATAGGTGCAACTCCGGCTTAAAGGTAGTGTGCCACCTTTGAAAGATTTCCCATTTTATTTTTCCTAGGATAAGAAGCTTCTGTTTTTACCTAATATCGCAAAGAAAATCAAAAATGGGCCTGGAATAGTGCCTTTTTCGCCTAAAAGTTTATCGGTTTTTCGATATGTATAACAACTGTAGTGGGCTGACCTGCAAACAGGCGTCGGCAACAATCGCGAATGCGGCGCACATGTGACAATAAGCAAAGGTCATTATAGAGTTACGACGTACGGGAATGAGTTATCAGCTGTCTAATCGTAGACAACACAATGTCGAGCCTTAAACTGTAAGCCTGTATTGGTATTGTTTCTTTTATTTGGCTGTCGAACATTATTTATGGTTTGAAATATGATTTTATGTAAAATAATTGATATGAAAAAGCCGTCTCTTAAGTTATGACCCCATTTCACCACACGCAAGTGGCAGAAATGACAATGATCAGCTGACGCATTTTTCTTGGCCGAAGTCAGAGCGCGCGGCCCGACGCACCACCACCGCACCACAAAGTATGAGCAGAAGCCGCGCCCAAAGCCAGGGCCCCGGTAACGTGAGGTAGCCGAGTCGGGGCAGCGTGCGCTGACCCAAGCCGGGGCCGCAGCTTTGGGCGCGGTCTACCGCATCCCCGCGGGCAGCCCCGGGCTATCACATGACACCGGGAGGACGCGCGGCCCCGGCTTGGGTCAGCGCACGTTGCCCCGACTCGGCTACCTCACGTTACCGGGGCCCTGGCTTTGGGCGCGGTCTACCGCACCACCTAACAGGCGTGTTCGAAACCGCAGGAGATGATGATGAACGGGTTTATCGAAACTTGATTGGATGAGCATATCGGTAATAGCGATTTCAGTGTGTGCATTTATTGTTCATAGTGGTGTGAAATGTGGTTGGGGTACGACCGACAACCCGTCGGGGCGAATTTCGCACTGGGGTACTCAAAATTTGAAGAATTTAAGACGTTTCCATGAGTTTTGAAGGTATGGATAAGTTCTAAAAATCCGGTTCTCCTTATCTGGGCCATTAACTCCATACGGTCCAGGAAAGCTGGCACACTACCTTTAAATAAATGTTCAGAGTCCAAGAGTCTATCCATCTTTCCTTCTACGGCCGGTTCCGTTCCAATAGATCCTACCTTGATTCTGATCATTCTGAATATTCTGAGCTGGTTCGACGTTTAAATACCAAAATAAGGTGAAGAGGATACCAAATGCCCTCAAACGGATAATTTTTTGGCTTTCGTCCCGAAACAACTTTGCCAGCTTCACTTGTCTCCAGTATGTGGTCCCGCTCCGACCTCTCCGCGGTGCTGACACCGACTGAAGCGGCATAGACCCATCGCGGTCACGGCCAGTGGGCGGAGTTTAGTTGGGCCCGGCGCAACGTGATTGGCCAGCGCTCCTATCCAATCTGGTGCGGTAGCGAGCGAGCCTCTATCCGGGTGCAAAAACTGATTAACATTACGAGCCAACGACAAGTGCTCTAAATTTTGATATTTTGTTAAGAGACCATATTGACAAAAATTGGCGCTTGAGCTGAAATATCGTCTGCCAAAATTTCAAGCTAATTGGACAAAAATTGAAGAAATTATCGCCGAAAAGCAGGGTCTCATGGGGTCTGAAATGCATAGTAAGTCATATTAAAATGAAAAGTATGAGCATGACCACAAAGTACAATACATGAAGAAAGACAAGTTGTTGACCAAAACAACAATCTCTGAATAACGACGCAAACACATTCTGTTCCGCAAATTCAGTACATACATCAGTGTCGACACTTTCACAGTGTCAGCCTTCATCAGCAAGCAATCATTTCAGTTCACTTGAAACCTGTCACGTATCATTATTGCACCACGCAAGATGGTTCAACAAAACACAACGTTGACTATCATACCACTGGTCATACGAGAGCAGCGCATCTGTGAAGGAGCTGATGCGAAAAAAGACCGGAAGTAAAGCAGTACATCGAGCGCTTATCTCGGCAAAGAACCAAATGAATTGCCTCATTACGATGTTAGCGGGAGGCGAGAGTATTGAATCAATGTTGTAGATCTGAATCGTAAAGATCGAATTCGAGACACTTACGAGAGCGCAGTACTCATCTTACTTAACACATTTGTTGTAAATCACGTAACTTCTCTTTCGCAATTTATTACACTTCTACAACTGACAACTGGCTATGTTACCTATGCGGCCGCTAGCGCCTAAGTATACACCGGCTCGGCCTGCTGCGCCCCGACTCGCGGCCCAGCATCCTCCCAGTCCCTGGGATGGTTCATTTCTCAGTCCATTCATTTCTCGGCGCCTCGTGAGCCACCGCCGAGCGTCACCGCGACACCCGAGGCGTCGGTTCATTTCTCAGTCGAATCACTCCTCGACCCGGTCAAGGTCGTCACACGACATGGACTTGGCCGACCTGGAACAGACAGCGCGTCAGTGCGAATCCCACATCCCGCCCGGCCCCACCGACACACCCGGTAATTAACGCGGCGATACATCACACACAGGGAGCAGCACACGGCAGCCGCGCCGGACGGAGACGGCTCACGTGACGCGTCGGCGCCCCGCCGGGCGGCTATCACGCCCAGTCTCCGTCCTCCGGTGAATGCCCCACGGCCTTGGCTCACGCTGCACAATACACAATACACCTTGTTGGCGGCACGACCGACCGGCAAAAGACGCCTTTTCAGTACGGCGCCGGCGGGTGACCCGACCTTGTCTCCAAGCCGTCTCCGTCTGTGGCGTATAAGATCGGATGGTCTGAGGTTATAGTGGCCCTCAGGCGGAACGACGTTTTGTCGTCGCCATCACCGCGACAATCACAGGCGACGGCCTGAGCTAGTCTATAAAGAGGCGTGTAGTGCCCGCTTTCAGGGTCATGATGACGGGTATCGCAAGAAAGACAGGGATACTTAAATGCTGAAGTAGTTTCTTAGTTTTTGTTGTCCCTACGTCATTTCATTCACTGTGCGGTTCTACTTTTAGCAAGGGTGCGAGGTTTAAGGTCAGCAAAGCTTTCTTGTCATCAGAACCATGACCTGAGAAACAGAAAACTGGCATTACAACGCAGAAATACAAACCACTTCCCGATTTTCCCATACACGCTCATTTGCTAACGTTTTCGCTCAATACATACTTGGCGTTTGTTATCGTCTGACCACACCAATACCACTCGCATATCTCATGGAGACTCCTGGAACATCTCCGTCGCGGGCCAGGTCGATCCGTCTGCGAGTCCAATCTGTCGTGCCGCAGCTGTCGGCAGGAAATAGCCGACCGTGGACGCTCCGGGGGCAATTAAAGAGGGATGAACTCGGCCGTAAACCCCGCTGGGAGGCTGGAGCCGTCTCAGCTGGGAGCACCCGCCGCTGAAGGTCGGCCAGATCGGCCCGACTGGACGTCCGAGCAGGCTGGGTTCCCAGGGAAGTCATGGCGCATTTCATACAGGTAGTAAGGATGTCGGCAATAAAGGTTATACAAAGAGACTGCCTGGTCCACGGAGGCTGGGGTTTAGAGAGTAATACTGCCACTAAGCCACTGCCATCAAGTTTATCTGCAGTAGACATACAGCGCGGTTTCAGAAACATTGACTCGGCAGTCAGAGATACATAAAAGAATTAATAAACATTATTACCGTCTCTAGCTAAACAGGCGCCCACCTGGCGATGGGAAATATCCAGAAGCCACAATTTACCCCAATCATCACGATGTTCCCACACGATCAAAGCACGCATGCTTCACCCCACCACAAACGTTGCATGTGTCGAAACAGATAGGTATATAACCATGTTCACCAACACTATCTCACATCCTCATGTCACACAGCGTCAAACCATCAAAGGCTCATTCTCACGGCGTGAGCACATTATGTCGCACGCAGCTTGCCTGTGTCACCCTTCATGGCTTCTTCAGAGGGTTACCAGCCAGCTGCGAGAGCGCTGAGAAATCAAGGAGTCTGAGCGCTGAGGGTCGACGTTGAGAGGACTCTTAGGGTATAAAGTCTTAGGGTCGACGATGAGGACTTTTTAGAGTATAGACCCTTAGGGTCGACGCTGAGGACTCAGATGGTATGAAAGACGTAAATGATCCCGGACTCTAGAGGGGCCCGGCTGTTCCCGGCGAGCCTGGGTTCCGCCGTACTGTCAGGCGGCTCGTGGGATCGGCTGACGCGCTGTGATCAGTTGGTGTATGTATGATGGGTTTGTGTGTTTAGTGTAAATGTGTCCTCATTGTGTCCGCATTGTAACTGACGTAGAAGAATGAAAAGCCATATTGTATGGATTTCTTTTGAATACATCTGTATCTGTATCTGTAGGGGCTGGGGACTGAGAGCCGACTCATTGGTGTCTAATCGCCGAGGCTAGCCTTTAAGAGTCTGGGCGCTGAGGGTCTACTCTAATAACCCAGAAAAGTCTGAGGGCCGATAACTCATGAAAGTCTGATTGCCGACGGGATTGCCTGAAGGCTGATCTGCTCACCGAGAATTGAAGGATCGGAGGCGGGCCGGGCCGGGGACACTAATAGCGCTGTGACAGCTCTGTTTCCGCCGCCGCCGCGATGTTGTTCCGCCGAGAGTTAGAGCGTCACGCTCCGGGAGCCGCAGCCTGAGTAACGATCCGAGTGACACGGGGGCGCTGGGAACCCTAGCCAGTGCCTCGCTCCCTGGACGGGCCAAATGACAGGAAAGTGGACTAGTTTCCCTTCCGAGCTCATCACGCCATCGAAGGGCGCGCAGCTCATCACCGTCATGTGTGGACACACTATCACTCTCACTGGGACGGTATTGTGGCAGAGCCAGCGCCACAGATTTTCCGAAGTGTTGTGGTGGAACAGTTCGTGCAACTGTGTTTTGCGCTCGGGATTGTCCCAGCGCTTTTTCATTAAAGAGCTCATGGGAAGATCTACCGATTAATTCATTAAACCAATCGTGCACAAACAAGATAAATCATATGATGGTGTAAGGAAGTGGCAAAACTATCTGAAAAACGTAAAACGATGCATTGCTTTCCGTAACGACGAATAGACACCTTTCGTTAACGCGCCTCCATCGCTAGCCGTCAGTGCGGCAGGTTCTCGTCTCCTGTATGCTCGGCACCCCTGCGCTACCGTCTGGCTGTCCGTGGCCGCTGCTGTCTGGCTGTGCCGTGCCCGCTGCTGTCTGGCTGTCCGTGCCCGCTGCTGTCTGGCTGTGCCGTGCCCGCTACTGTCTGGCTGTGCCGTGCCCGCTGCTGTCTGCTGTTTACCGTCACACCTGGCGGCGGGAAGCCGGCCGACACGGGCGCGCCGCCGCGCCGTTCCGGTGTGGGACCGCTCGGTTCCGTCCGCTCCATGGTCGGCCGCCACACCGGATCCGGGCTCGGACAGGCCCATCCGGTGGCGCGCGCCACCGTGGCCAGATGGTGCCGCGGAGGCGACCACCGGCACACCGGCACCTCCTCTCTCCTACCCAGCACGGTTTTCGTCCCCGACATTCAACAGAGACGGCGCTGATCTCAGTCACCGATCGCATCCTTTCAGCTTCCGACCAGGGTGAAATCTCATTACTTTGTTTAATTGATCTCTCGAAGTGTTTTGACGTAATCGACCATTCTATTCTCTTGACAAAACTAAGCCAGTACGGTGTCAACACCGACTGGTTCGCTGCCTACCTTTCTGGTCATACCCAAAAAGTCAGCTTCACTGACAAGGCCTGTGTGAAACACGTTTCGAAATCACTTCCAAATCAAGTTGGCGTTTTTCAAGGATCTTCTCTCGGACCTCTTCTCTACTGTCTATTTTCTAATGATCTTAGCCTCTTCGCAGCATCTTCAGACGTCACTCAGTACGCTGACGACACCCAAGTGCTCGTCAGCGGAAAAAAGTCCGCCCTTCCGGCTCTGAAAAATCGCTTAGATACTGCCCTGTCTGCTTTAGACGTCTGGTTCAGAGCAAATTCACTGAAGGTCAACGCCAGAAAAACCCAGCTTATCATGTTTGGCAGCCATCAAAACTTGCAAAAGTTGCCCACCAGTGAAGTATCGGTTAGTTTTCGTGGAGAAATTCTCCAACCTTGTACAGAGGTGAAAAACCTCGGTTTGGTTTTCGATCGGTACCTTACATGGGACCGTCACATCTCGCTGATCACTCGCCGCTGCAACGGAATGCTGACTGGCCTCTTACACCTGCGACATTATCTACCCGAATCTGAACTGTCGACTCTCGTCTCCGCCCTGGTTCTCTCTCACGTTAGATACTGCTTATCTGTTTACGGAAACGGTACCCTTAAAAACATGGACAGAATTCAAAAGGTTCTAAATTTCTCAGCCAGGGTTATCTCGGGGCGAAAAAAGTTTGACCACATATCTGACGTGCAGAGGGAGCTGGGGTGGTTATCGGCACCTGATCTGGTCCGATATCATACCCTGATGTTGGCCCACAAAGTCCAGAGGCATGGCGAGCCCGAGGAGCTGGCGGGTATGTTTCGCCGTTGTGATGTGCGTGACCGACGGACGCGGCAGGACGAGGCGCTCCGCGCACCCCGCTGTAGGACGGCATGCGGTCAAAGGCGCTTCGCATACCGCGCCGCGGTGGCTTACAACGCGCTCCCCCCGGCCCTGACCGAACGACCGGTTGGACCGTTCTGCGGAGGAGTGAAGCGCCACCTGGCACGGGGTGGCGGCGCAGATGTGATGGGCTAAGCGCGGATGCTCGTGTGCATGTTTTGAATGCTTGTTCTACCTCCCCACTCGTTTTGGTTTTATGCATGCGTTTGACACTGAGCAATTTAGCCTCGGTTATCGCGGATGCTCTACGAATGTTTAATACAATACAATACAATACCGGCACGGGCGGCACACCGGCACACCGGCCACCGCAGACCGCGCGGCACACCGTCAACTGCCCAGCTCACCAGCCAGTGCACTGGCCACCGGCAGACCGGCACACCAGCAGCCCGGTACACCGGCAATCCGCCCGACGCTCACCGCAGACCGGCACACCGCGCCGGTCACCGTTCAACGCAAACCGGCACGCCGCACAACGCCCACAGCAGAACGGCACACAGCCTGCCGCCCACCACCACTGCACTGGACTGGGCTGCCCGCTGCATACCTCCGGAGTATGACGCCACAGCACTAAGTCACCGAACACCGGATAGGGATATCGTACTTACACAGGCATAGGATACGACAACGGACATCGGATCGCGGATCACGGATATCGGGATCGAAAAACGGACACCGAATCAGTCAGTAGAAATGCGATCGAATAATGCAAGTCGACACACGGACACAGATAGTTATGTATGACACAGGACAAAAAATCGGTGATACATACAGCACAAACAAAATACGGGTCAGTGGACGCAATGAAGAGCAACATCGGATACGAATTACGAACACTAAACGCCACGCAAGACACGATAAAAATAAAAAGCGGGGAAGAACAACGGACGCTCAGCCTGCCAAAGGCTCGGACGTGGACTCAACCATCGGATGCGGCCCATGTAAGCGACTCTAGCCGGTCCGCCGGCTGTGTTGAGCGGAACTAAGCGTTTTATGACTGGGCAGCTCCCAGCGATCACAGCGAGTTGAGCTGGCGGCATGTCGCGTGCGGAGTGACATATCAGCTGACGCGTGGGAGAGCCGCCGGAATTATGCATGCTTTGTACGGGTCTTTTTTTGTGTGGCGGTAACCATTGAAGGAACAGGGTGGACACTACATGCAGCAGTGTGTATAATTCTTGTGAATGACATCATGCGCTAGTCACTTTGTCAAGTGACAGGACCTTTTTGACATATTCTGTGAGAACCGTTCAGACTGGAAGCGGAAAACAGCACGATCAATGTAAACTGAAATTACACAGTCATTACGTAACGTTTTCCGGTTCTAGATGTCCCGATCTGAACGCTCACCTTCGTTTGGCCGGCTGCTCACGGCGGGCCACATGGAGGATCACCTGTCCGGATCGGACCGACTTGAACACCACCACGGCCTCGCCGTGCGACAAGCCCTGCATGCTCTCACCGTTCACTGCCACAATCTCGTCACCTGCGAATGGATCAGAATGACAGAGTTATGCGATATCGCATGGCCGACATTGATGTACGGCTCTCGCGAGATAAAGCGGTAGGTTTTGCACTTTTACATTTCCGGTTCCGGTTATGTCTCAGAAACTAATCGATCTACGATGAAGCCATTTTACACGATCATGGCCGGCTTGTGAACCAACAAGTCAAACGCATCTTCAACACTTACAAGCTTAACCCGCGCACCGACGGGGGTCTGCGCCAACTTCGTACCGACGGGGGGGGGGGGGGGCGGATGACCGCCCCCCCTGAGATCTCGAGAACGAAGCAAGATAGCGACAAGCGGTAAACGGCATCGGATACGCACGGCCAAGATCTACAATTTTTACGAAGGTCATTTTCAGGTCAGGTCAAAGATGACGTCACAGGGGTCGAAAAAGTCAAAATGGCGGCGCTAGATATGGAGAGAGTTTTTCTCGAATAACTTTCGAATTAGTCAAGATAGGAACAAACTAAGGGCATCATCGTGATCCTCTCGTCAATCCGCATCGAAAGATATATATGTTGACCTCGAAAGGTCAAGGTCAAAGGTTGACCTCAGGTCACGTGACCTCGAGGTCATCATGTATATCATTCGATGCGTCTTGACGAGCTGAACACAATGAGACCATCCACGCGTCTGTATCTTGTTCCTGTACGGAGTTATTGGCCAAAAACCTTTGGTGACCTTTGATGGCGTCACATGACCTCACAGCTGCCCAACAGCAAAACAGACCTCAAGGTAGTGAAGGTTGATCGTATATGAAGTCATGTATGGTATATGGGGCCATTCCGACCCGTTTTAGTGGTAAAAACAGGGAGTTGATTTTTCCCCCATTGACTTATAATGGGGAGGTCGCGAAATTGACCTGACCTTAGGTCACCGATATCAAAATTCCGAGATATACAAATTGTAGCTACTAATGACCTAATAATATCCTGTGAGTTTCAAAGGCCTCCGACATCTACTGTAGCTCTGGCACGGTGACAAAGTTGCAAAAAAGTGACTTGAGGTTGGGTCATTCAAAGTGACCTGGTGACCTGACCTTAAAAGGTAGGAGGTTTAAACTTGCACACCATGTGTAAAATTGATGAGGTTATAGTCATACCAAATTTCGCGGCGCTACGCGCCGCGGTTTTCCCGCTATTTGCGAAAAACCTCAGGGGGGGGGGGGGGGGCGGATATCCGCCCCCCCCGTCGGTGCGCGGGTTAAGACGACGAAGATATAGCCTAAAGTGCGCTAAATTTTCTAGGTGCAAAACCTACAGCTAAAACCCGCGAGACCTGTATAGTGACGTTAGTGTATAGTACGTTAGTGACGGCAACGCGGAGCAAATAGGTGTGCTGACAAGAAAAAAGATGCTTACGACGGCCGCTGATTGACTTCTGCTTGGAACACAGCCACATCGCATTATCTCGCCCACCATGTCCGTGTTCATAACACCGAAATGAGGCGACCTCCACCGACCATCTACCCATCTGACCGGGTTATTCTCGTCACCTCAGCGGGGCGCCGACTCAGGATGTCATTCCGCCGACAGGTCCCTGATTGGCGTGTCGAAAGGCTGCGCAGTTGGCCGACAGTGGCTCCATTTAGCGCCCGAATACGGCTGATCACCGCGGGTGGATATGACTGATCGAGCTGGTAACTGATCAGCCTGGCCGGCAGCTATGACCGGCGGCTGACCGATGGACAGCGCGGACCCTCCCCCTCCTCCCCCACCAGGGTCACTGGTCAAGGTCCAGCCCTCGCCGGTGACCCGCCACCGACACCCCAGTGACGTAATCGATGACGTCACCACTCCACCAGCTGGCTGACTGGCCAACTACTGTGTGTCGGCGAGGAGCTGCGCCCCGGGGCTGGCAATGCTTGTTAACGTGTCACGGCTGAGGCGAAACCCATACTTAGGGCCTTGGGAGATGACATATCGTGAGGCAATCTTGGTTACTGGCAAATCTTGGTTACGGACGATTTGTTCCACATTTAGGGAGGTAGTGTAGTGTGGTAAGTAATGAGCACACCTTGTATGCCCACAGGTATATGATAGCTAAAAGTATGTTTTTCGACCCAAAGCTAAGGGAGGGAAACTGCTGCTTACTTTTACATTTGAACATGAAAGGATAAAAAAACGAAAATTATGCATGACGAAAGGCTTCACGATAATTATTGCATCATGACCATGATAGCGTGCTCCGTCGGGAACTGTCAACGATTATTACAGAGATGCCCACTAAACATAAACCAATTACAAACCTTCTTTGAGCCGGTTGTCCTCTGCTGCCTGGCCATTGGGAAACACCGTCTTCACGAAGATTCCCATGTTGCCCTTGGGTGAGTCCCTGCCTCCAACAATACTGAACCCAAGACTCTTCTTGCCGGCTCCCTTTTCGAACTTGACGGTAAGGAGGGCAGTGGTAAGCGACTTGGGTCGCCGGCCGGTTTTGGAGCTGGCCGATCGGGTGCCAGCCCTCTGCTCGTGCCGCCGGCGCAGCAGCTCGCGCACCGACGACACCGACTGCGCGCTGGACACCGAGTAGCCCGAGACGGCCGACAGCACCGACTCGGGCCGCCGGTACTCGTCGGCTTCGGAGGCGTCGTACGGCTCCGAGCCCGTGGCCGGGTACTCGAGCGAGTCGTCCGGCTCGTCGAGCAGCTCGTCCCGAGAGCCGGACGCGCCGCCGCCACCGCCGCCGCCGCCGCTCGTGTCCGGTACAGAGATGACCACCACGTGCTGACCGGCCGGCGGCGCGGCCGGCTGCAGCCGGTCCGGGTGGAAGTCGCGCGCTATGACAATGTCCAGCTCGGGCGACGGGTCCTGTAGCACGTCCAGCACCGACTCGAGGGCACAGCCGCGCAGCCGGCGTCCGTTCACGTTCACCAGCTCGTCGCCCACCTTGAAACGGCCGTCCCTGAAATGAGCACAATAATTAGTTTCCACCATAAAAGCTTATCATCCTCCATGAGAACCAAGGTAAATTAAATGAATGAGTGAGATTCGTAACCTTCAGTGTATCATGACCAGCACAAAACGCATCACGTAAGATATAAAGGATTGCAAATGTTACAACATAAGCATATTTGTTCCTCTTAGCCTCTTGAGCTATTACAGAAAGAACAAAATGACTAACACATGTAACAGGACGGATGCAATCAAGTTATTACGAGCGAGCGAGCGCAGCGAGCGAAGCGAAGTCTTTTCAATGTAACGGAAAAATATCAGTATGAGAGGCCCGGCCGGGCCGGCCTGTAACGCTTTTGAGAGGCTTATATCTCAGCAACCGCTGGACCGATTGCCCTGCGGTCTTTTTTGCTGGGTAGCCCAATCCCTTCTACCCCGTAATTGACTACTTTTGATACATCTCAGTGACCGTCGTGGCACCCACGTGAAAAGTCAAGGGTGTTCAAGCAGTTTTGTAAAAGTAATGATTTTGAGAGGCCCATATCTCAGCAGCGGCTTGAGCGATTGTCTTGCGGTAATTTGTATAGGGTAGCTGCATCCCTTCTACCAAAGGTCGGATACTCTTGATCTATGTGAGTGACCCCAATTGCACGTGCAAAATACAAAAAGAAGAGGTGCCAAATTTGTTCCCATTTCAGTAACTCGGTAATTACTGGGGCGATTTTGCTGAATGCTGCTGATGCTGCTGACCCCTTATGCACGTGCCACGTGCAAAACGAAGAGGTGTCAGTTTTGTAATTGTTGCAATATCTTGGTAACTACTTGGCCGATTGCGCTGAAATTTGGCATGCAGGTAGGCACCCGCCAGGCAACGCATTCCCATGTGTTGCGGTTAGGGTGCTACTGCACGCGCGCGCGTGCAGGGGGTGTTTCCAGATCTCGAGAACGGCTGGGCCGATTGCGCTCAAATTTGGCACACGGTTGGGGACCGGTTAGTAGGGTGCCGTGCAAAAGTCATTTTGGACCCCGTTTGCACGTGCGCACGTGCAGAATGCCGCTTCCAGATCTCAGGAACGGCTGGGCCGATTGCGTTCAAATTTGGCACACCGCTAGCGACCGGTTAGAAGGGTGCTTTGCACAAGCCCGTTGGAAGTACCCTCTCGCCCTTCCGCACGTGCAGGGCTCACTATCTCGCTCGCTCGTTCTTCGCCCAAAAGGCGTTTTACTGGTACATTATTTGGGCAAAACAACACACAACGGTCTTGTCATTGCAACGGATTTATAAGCTGTAGACTTTCAACGCCGCTTGTTTTTATTATTATTTTGTAATCGCCAGGCTGCCATACAAGGCCGAGAAGCTAGGGACTGGGGACACTTGCCTGGCTATGGCGCCGTTGGGCTCCATTTCGGCGATGAGGTAACCGTGACTGCTGTTCGTGGCTATGAAAATCCCTAACGAGTCCCCGTCGGCCTTTTTGACGCGCAGCATCTTGAACTGTTTGTTGGTAAAGTCAGCCGGCAGTGAGGGCAGCGCTGCCGGGCTGGTCGGACCGCCGCCGGCCGCTACCAGGTGACCCGTGGATCGGGGCCGGGCCGGCGGCCGGCCCGGCTCGTGTGCTGCCTCACGGGTCCCCATCCGGATCCGACCACGGTTCGGCACCCCTGGGTCCGGCGGATGTCCGAAAGGCACTGGGAACCCATCCAGACGCTGGGGTGGATAGTTCTCCAGTCTCGGGTGATGGTAGCTGTTTACCCGCTCCTGTGGGTAGCTTTCTTGGCGAGGGTGTCCCTCAGAGCGGGAGCGGGGCTGCGCGTAGCGGGGCGGTCTCCCAGAGTCCGGAAAGTCCCGTCGCTCGGGACGCAGTCCAGGGAAGTGGTACAGCTCCCGCGGGTTCTCGACACTCCGCTTCCGACGGGGTACCTCTGGATGCCTGGCAGAGTGAATGAGCTCCGGTTCTGACAAGATCTCTTCATAAGAGCCATGATCTAAGTGCCGGGATGTCGGAGATGAGAGATCGTTGTTCTCTTCTTTCGCGAGTGACTTCCTTGGAGGCTTAGTTGGACGTTTCTTGTACTGCATATATCTGCGTTGAGCAACAATCTTTTCGGTGCTGATCTGAATACCGTTCACATCCATCACCTTCCTGTCTTTCGGCTGTCGCAGGATCGTATCATTATCCTGGGTAGCGAAGGGCGATTCATCCTCCTGAGTTCGCGAGCTGTTGTAGGTTTTAGGGCGGGCTCCCTGCGGCTTGTTGAACTCATCATCCGAAGATGAAGTGCCCAATCGCGTCGCTTCGAGTGAACTTGAACTGACATCACCGAAGCTCTTGGTGGATCCACTGGGACTCTCTTCTCCTGAGGAGCGCCTAGCGTTGATCCCCCGGGTGCTACCAGAGGGTGACTCCTCGCCACGTCTCGTGCCATCGCTGTCATATCCACTCTCGTTCGAGCAAGCATGGTTCAGCGGCAACTTTCGGGGCCCCGTCTTTATCACATTAGGGACGTCTGGTATCTTCGTGGATTTCTCGATCCGAGAGTTGCTTGGAGAGGGTGAAGGCGGCACAGCTGGAGCCTTCTCAGGACTCTGCGTTCGGCTCCCGGCTGGCGTTGTTTTGTTAATCTCGTGCGCCTGAGGTAGCCGTCGTCCTCGGGAACCACCCAGGACGCCCTCGTGACTGCGGGACCTGATGTCACCGATAGTCATCCTCCCTTTCCGCGCAGCGGGACCGCCTCCTTCTCCCGCCGACTCCCCTGCTCCTCGTCTGGAAGTTCTCTCGGAGCCCGTTACCCGCTTTTCGCCAACGTCCACCATGTTCTCACAACTCATAGTCTTTGTTGGCAGGTAGGCAGGCTGATTCCAGGCGGCGTTCTGCGTTCTAGACGACTGCTTCTTCAGGTCCTTGATGGTGGGCGGGGTGACATTCAGCTGACTGGTGGAGGCGCTCTTGTAGAGACTGACGCTGCGTTTGACCGGCCTCGACTGTCTGGGTGTCTCTGCTGGCTCCGGAGGCAGACCGGCGTCCGAGCCGCGTCTCTCCCTGAACCCCTGACCTCCATGACCCCCGTGAGCGGCGGCGCGCCGGGGGATCACCGGCAGACGGAACAGGTTGCGGATGCTCTCGACTCGATCCAGCCGGACTCGCCTCTCCGAGCGCAGACTGTGGGTGTCGGGGTCGCGACTGGACGAGTCGGAGACGCGCCAACGTCGTCGTCCCGAGCTGCTTGAGCCGCTGATTTGTTCACTGCTACCCGACCGGGTCAGACGAGAGAGACGACGGCCCACCCGGCGGCCCCATGTCGACGACTCTGGAAAGAACGAGAGCATGGTTAGAAATGCGGGCAGCGCGGCATGAGGCGGGCTTCTGGCGTGACATGATCACATGTCAACATTGCTTATATAATGCCATCCCTGCTTAGCTTCTTAGGTATAAAATCACAAAACAATAATGCAGCGTAAGCTGTAAATATAACACTTACACCTCGTTTTTACAAGTGCCACTGCACACTATCCGCTTATATGCACGCACAAGCAGATTATATTACCAATCACTGAGTCATATTTCATTGTCACGTTGACTTCGCACTTGTCTGTCCCTTCGTCAAAGTTTTTGCGACAATAATGACGCGTGTATTAGTTAATTATACCTTTCTAGCAGAGGCAATTAGTACAATCGTCATGTCATCGCGTCGTAACCACCACACCCCAAGTCCATTCACTCAACCCTTGTGAGCCCCATTTGCACCTGATAAGTGTGGCTACTTTCGACTGCCTTCAGTGACCCGGTCGCTAGACCAAACCGGACCTGTGAGCCATGAGTACACACCGCGCGTGGGATGATACGAGCCAGGCGAGCCTTTCCTGGCTATCTAACACTGCGTGGTTGATGACGTCTGACGACTTTTTAAGGTGTCCTTCATTGGGTCGGCCCTTTGTTAGGCCCCATGGCTGTTTGACTTTGGGCAAAATCCGGCTCAGTTTCCTTGACATGCTGAAGTGCGTGGGATCCAGAGCAGAGCGCCTGCAAGTTAATGGCATTCGCCTCATTAGAAGGTTTTGGGGAAGAAGGCATCTGTGGTTGATTTATCCGGATCAGACCAATGAGCTTGAGTTCCTAATCGGGTTTTGGAACCAATTAGAATTGCCAGGTGCAGCGATATCTAATCGCACATTTAATTGTATATCTTTCTTTAGCTCAACGTGCCAGACGATAATTCTTATGACCACATTTACGAGTATTGGAATTCTGTTACGATGCTGTTTGGTTCGTTGAGAACTACATATTCAGCGATTCGCTCAGCAGTCTGTCAGGCGAACAAGCCGACAAACACAGTTCAATTTAGACGGACGTCCGGATCAGAAAACAAACCTTCAATCACACCAGCAATGACCGTGCAATTGCACGTGGGCAATCACCCACGCAATTCTGCTGCACGGGCGGCGCAAACATCAACACAAACCCGTGCGGTCGATTACCTTTTGTTCCGCACCCACCATCGTCAGTCAGTTCGGCGCAATCAGAACCAATCACCTGTCCAAACCAGAGGATCTAATGACGCCGGCTGGACCGTCAGCCGATGGGCCGAACAGCTGTGTCCAGCTTCCCCTCTCCCTCCCCCTCCCCGCTGCCCCCGCCCCACGGTCATCGCCCGCTGAGGGGCGGCTCATAGACGGCCGCCGCCCGTCGCAATCATTAGCATGCTGCGCTAGACGTGCCCGAGGCGGCCGGACATGGACGGACGGCACTGATCGGGAGTCGCGCCTAGCCGCGCTGATCTCAGTCAATGGCCGATAATCGTACACATACCGTGTTTACGACAGCGCTATAGCGCCTACGACTGCGGTAGGAGCAGCACTGGGCGGTGCCGCCACAGTCGTCAGCCGGGCCGCCGCAGCCGCCGGGCTACACTGGGCGGGTACGCGGTTTTACAGTCAATTTGCAGATGGCTCGGAGGGCTGAGGTCATGCACTGAGACGGAACTCAGGTGGAAATAAGAGTGGTTGGCTTTATTGGCGGCCATGAGACGCCATGCATTCTGAATGAACAGGTGCAGGGAGCACGACGGTCAATTGAAGAACGTGGGAGCGGCGCGTGGCAGGATAACTCCCGGTTGACCTTTGCAGCCGGATTTCAGGAACACGAGATGACCATGGTACCATAATTCAATAATATTTCAAGGATTTGATCAATCAAGTTACTGCGACATCCTAATGGCTTTACTTGTTTTGATTATAAAAGATAATGAGTAACCTCACCTTTCCGCAGCTGTTCGTCAGCAGACAGGAAGTCGGCCGAGGGTCGGAGCAGCGGCGGCGCGGCCGGGTCCTCCGGGTCGCCGCCCTCGTCCCGCTGCAGGGGTGCCAGGCTGACCAGCTGGGGGGCCGAGTCGGACCCCCGCCGGCGGAACAGACGCATCGCCACCTGCCAACCAAACAGAGATCTGTCAGAGGTCGGCTCATGTCATCCGCTAAAGGTCAGCTGCCAGAAGGTCAATGCGACGATTGACTTTTGACGAAGCCAACAGAGAACAATAAGAGAACAAAACCGTTACGATGAGAACATTCACGAGGAAGTTGGGAAGTTGACAGATGTATCCAGCACAAAACTCTTGTCATTACCGTGGGAGTAGCATGACGCCAAAGGGGTAGCGGTCACAGTGAACATTTCTGCAGACCCATACCATCGGTAAATGTCAGGAAAACCGCTCTGTGTAACAACCGGAAGGGGCGTGTTTGCACAACGACAATTTTGCTGCAACTGTCTCGCATAAAATTCATTAATTTCAGAATTCCATTTGTCAATAAACAAGGAGGGTTGAGAGTACATTGATTCGTCAAATGAACGTCACGAATGTTGCGAGTGTTGTGAACGTCAACATGTTGAGTTGCTAAACCAACATGTTGAAAGAAGCCGTGACCCATGCTGCCCTCACAAGTGGGTGATGCTATTCATAAACACCCTTGCATTCCTTTCTGTAGTCTTGGGTCATAAATGTGGGTTCAGGTCAAGAGGTGTGACACCGCAGAGATCGACGACAGGCTATGTTCACAGAGCGCGGTAACTAGCAGGCAAGAAATAAACGCGACCAAGGTTCTATGGATGGCCCTATGATATAGGTATTATGTTTCGGTGCTTATTACGAGCGAGCGAGCGCAGCGAGCGAAGTGAGTCTTTTCAATATAACGGAAAAATCTCAGTATGAGCGGCCCGGCCCGGCCCGGCCTGTAACGCTTTTGAGGGGCTTATATCTCAGCAACCGCTGGACCGATTGGCCTGCGGTCTTTTTTGTTGGGTAGCCCCATCCCTTCTACCCCGTAATTGACTACTTTTGATACATCTCAGTGACCGTCGTGGCACGTGCCACGTGAAAAGTCAAGGGTGTTCAAGCTGTTCTGCAAAAATAGTGATTTTGAGAGGCTCATATCTCAGCAGCCGCTTGGGCGATTGACTTGCGGTAATTTTTGTAGGGTAGCAGCATCCCTTCTACCCAAAGTAGGATACTCTCGATGCATGTGGGTCACCCCCAGTGCACGTGCAAAATACAAAAAATAAGAGGTGCCAAATTTGTTCCCATTTCAGTAACTCGGTAATTACTGGGGCGATTTCGCTGAAACTTGGCATACAGGTAGGCACCCACCAGGCAATGCATTCCCATGTGTTGCGGTTAGGGTGCTACTGCACGTGCGCACGTGCAGGGGGCGCTTCCAGATCTCGAGAACGGCTGGGTCGATTGCGCTCAAATTTGGTACACGGTTGGGGACCAATTAGTAGGGTGCCGTGCAAAAGTCATTTTGAACCCCGTTTGCACGTGCGCACGTGCAGAATGCCGCTTCGAGATCTCAGGAACGGCTGGGCCGATTGCGTTCAAATTTGGCACACCGCTAGCGACCAGTTAGAAGGGTGCTTTGCGCAAGCCTGTTGGAAGCACCCTCTCGCCCTTCCGCACGTGCAGGGCTCACTATCTCGCTCGCTCGTTCTTCGCCCAAAAGGCGTTTTACTGGTAATTAAGCAAAATGTAAGTTGTAGAATGTACAGAAAAAGTAATAGAAGTAAAGAAGATTCTCTACCCGCAACGTGCACTTGGTCAACATGTTCAAAATGTAAAAAATGCATAATTCCGATACCACGTAGATAATACAATTTGGCATCTCTCCTCTAACTTCTGAATGTGCTCCTCATTCATTCTTAGAATACCGCCTCAAATGTATCAGAATCCAAATAACATTAGACCAAAGCTTCGAGACCATTGTTTTTTGCGGCCTTCATTGTTCCGCTCAAGGCTCAAAAGTCTCTATGGATCGCTCTGATTAATGCGCCCAACTACAGCGGACGGATGGCCCTCGAGAAAACTGAAAACCTGAGGTCGGTAGGGCGGAACGGCTGACCCAGACCGGTCCTAAGAATGGACAAGTCTGGTCTGGGACAGAGCGCTGACACACATCAGCTGACCTAGCCCACCACGCCATCGCGATGCCATCCTCGCAGTAGCTCGTGGCAGATCAGCTGGCACGGAACGTTTGACCCGGACTGGATCCATATGTGAAGGACGACAGCTCCATGTGGTAAATCATCTGGCATGCCTACTATACTTGGCGGGGCAGCCGACTCGAAAATCCTGTCGGATTCTAGAGCAGCCGCAATGAGACGGTTCATCTCATGGAAACAGAAAAGGAGCTATGGAGCTTAACATTCGAGAATGAATATCAATGGAAATGGACGTAGATCACGCACGGCACAAAAACCGTTGCAGAGTTTGACTTACAAGTATTTTAAACCTTGCATTCATTACTTGCGTACTTGAGAAGCCAAACGAGCATTTGCGCAACACACGATCGAACTCCCATTACCACTGCGTTTTGCGGTAAGCAGCGTGCGCGGTCCATTTCGATGGCTGTTTGATGGTGGGAAGTGGGGGTGTTGACACGACGTTACCCCACCTCCTGAGATAATTAGACCCGTCACCAGCTGTGCTCCCCCGGCCGTCACGCACTCAGCGCTGCCTGTGACGTTTACCTAATTACGTGGCCGAGTATTCAGAAAATTTCCTACCCCCTTACCACTAAAGAAAACCGCACATATTACAAAATCCTGGCGTTTCCGTTATGAAAGTAATTTTATGAGAAAGCTCAAATCTATGAATGAAAGATGAAAAGTGTTATTCATTCACGAACAATGCATATGAGTACACAACGATATTTCTGATTCCATACACTGTATGCTTCCTTATTCTTTTTAAAGCCTGATGAAACATAAATGAATAGCATCAGCAAATATCTGATTCCAAACAATTCCGAGGTCGAAGTACCTTCGTAATTGCAGAACTTAGGAGTTTAACTAAAGTAATGGAACAGACGCCTAGTGAAAGGCACAGAAGCTGGTCCAGTGAACCGTCAACGCGCCGGTTGTACACAATGACACGCCAAGGAGCCATTACAGAGCTTGTCACGCCAATTGTGTCACAGAGGAGTGGAGAGTAAGACGCGTTTTGTGGTCGACTGACCTGACCTGTCACTGTCCATTGTTACCGCCGTCTTACGGCAGCCCGTCAAGGCCCCGCGCCGACACCATTAATGGCCGGAGGCGACGTCGCACAGCCAGAGCCACAGAAACACTTCATCTTATCCCAGAGTAACAGGGTCAACCACAACCAACACCTAACCTTACTCAGACACACGGCCACAATATCACTCCAAGTTTCAGCCACAGCAGATAACTCATCTAAGCTTAAGCCACAGTCAACACCAAAGCTGACCCCGAGTCGCAGACCCATCCAGCACTGCACATTACGCTGACCTCTACACTGCAGTCAGCAAAATCACACCCACGCCAATGGCCTCCGTTTGAGGGGTTTTGCATATCTAAAAAAAGCGATCGACTTCAGAGCGCGTCATTGTTGGAAAGAAATACAGATATTGGCCAAGCAAGTACCTACTGAATGCCACAGTATCTCTATTAGTTACACAGAACTGGGCACCGTCCAACTGGCAGTGATTATTGCCGTCGCTGACAACAGATATTAATGTGTATATCGGAGCACCCGTGCTGCATTGTCACACACCACCGTTAATCATCGTACACCGCGGCGTCCGGACCAAAAGTACAGGACTCCAGCCGTGATAAGACATTTCGTGACTCAAGTGGCACGTGCCCGAACGTAACGCGCCCTTAGGAGCGCCAACCAGCCAGGACATGACGTTTCCTCGACAACGGTGCCTGCTGGCCGAGTATCATCATCGTGACAACAGCGCGTGTCTCTATGACCCTCCACACTGGAATGGCGTGGTACAGTTAACAACACAACAGATTGCTTTTTTTCACTCTTTGGAGTTGTTTGTGCTCCCAATTTAGCGGTATCTGTCATGGTTGTTGGTAGGTACTGGTAAAGGTAACAGCGAGTGCGTCCGTATGCGTGCATGCATGTAGGTGTGCGCGTGGCGCTGAAGTAAAAACAACTCAGTACCATTGCGGTGTCATAGACGGAATTAGTGTTATTTTTGACAGTACCGGCGCGGTGGCGGTGCTGATGACTGTCACAGTTAGGACGGCGGCGACGCGGGCAGAGCCGGTACCGGCCGTGAGAGGGGCTGTGTCAGGTGCTGGGCGGCTTCCCGCGCCGCCACCGTCGCCACAGACAGCTGGCGCGCCGCCCGAGCCCGACGCGCCGCAAACAAAAACGGCGCAGTTAGCCGCGCCGCGCGCCGCCGCGCGACGGAAGTGGGATTGAACGGGCCCATAGAGCGGCGCACCGCGCCGGGATCGTCTCCCTCGCCGGGATCGCCTCACCAACAACCAGCGGGCGGCGCACTGCAGGTAACACGGATAGCGGACCGGAACGGTGGAGGCGGCAGTCACCGATATCCGGCATGGACTGCGGTGGAGTCGGCAGTCTTCTAACGTCGGTTTGAACGGTGCCACCCACTACTGACGCGGTGGGATCCTTCTCAAAGGACGGCGACTACAGCGCCTTGAGAGTACTGCCTTTGAAAAGGTGGAGACTGCAACGCCAGAAGGGTTATATCACCAAACGGTAGAGACTGCAACACCTCGAGAGTTACGAGTATATCCCCAATCAAAGGTTTTGTAGCTTGTGTTTCGCGCCGCATTTGTGTTTTGCAGCTGGTGGTGATTGACGACCATAATCGTGCTTGACTCGTTCATATTTATTCGATTAGAATAAGTTCTTAAGTAGAAGGATTCAAATCATATGAATAATTTTAAGAGATGAAATGCACATCCTAGCTATAATACATTCGATCACTCATTAGTCAAGACATAACACCGACACCAAGATGACAAAAATAGGACTGAATGTTCAGTTTCCGAATTTTCATATCTTTACATAGATTAGAGAAAGGATGAAAAACAGATAACAAGCAAATTAAAAGTCCCCCGTGAGTGTTCGCATCTATTCATCTGCCATC